AAAGATGCCTAGGAAATAATTATAAAATAAACTTTAAGCCACTAAGATCAGATCGGGCTGTTGTGAAGCAAAAATGGGAGGATTTTTCTCATTTCCTTACTGAGAGAACAAGTGAGGATTTTGCCAGTGAAGTAAGGATGACTGACGTATGTACTGGATAATCGTAACCATACTACAGTATTTCAAAATGCTATAAAGACAGAGCTTTGGTTTTTCAAATATCTTTTGAATTGTAATCGGCAGTAATCAGGCATTCTGTGTTCTTGCTACTGCTGTCATCACTATTATTGCCAGCTAACACGGGCAGCAAGTGGAAGGAGGACAGTAGTAGTGTATGTGACTGAACTTACCAGTCAGGAATTAACGCAGAAGCCCAGCTTATGTACAGGTGGCTTTCATACACTTTTTCTTATGAGTAGGAAAATGCAATCTAAAGTAACGCATCTCTGAATGATGAACGACTCCATACTGGTGAAAATTAGCAAGCATTTAGCTAACTTCATTGAACCAGTTTTCTGGCTTTTGGAAACTAGGCATTTTGACAAAAATACAAATTTTCAGTAGGTGAGTTAGAAGATCAGTTGAAAAACTAAAAAAAAAGAAAAATGATTACAGAAGAACTCTGTAATCAAACATCTGACAGACTACAGAACCAAAACAAGAGAAAAACACAGGGGAAGAAATTATCAAAAAGAAACCCAAAAAGAATTCCTACAATTGAAATGATCACCCTTTCACAATGAATGTTTGAGGAGCCAAGGACAATTAACAAAAAAGATCCGCACCAAGGTATACGTGCCAAAATACCTAAGGAAGAACACTTCACCAGATAGTAGAGAATCATACAAAAAATGTCGTTACAAGTCTCAAAGAAAATGTGTTTTTGTTCTCGAAAATTATACCCAGCCAAACTAGCGATCAAATGTCAGGCTAGAATAAAGACATTTCTAGCAATGTCTCAAAAAATCAACCATTTTCTGGAACGTTCTACATGTTGTTGTCTTGTCTTTACTTATCTTGGCCTTGACACACATCAAATCCCCTAGGGCCTGAGTGGCTTTTCCTTCTGTTCCACTCACTTTCTACTCGAGGACCTGGCCTCCATCTGTCCATCCTGTAAGGTTGAGTTTTAAAGCACTACCTCCTCCATGAAGGCTTTTCTGCTCCAGCCAGCAGGATATACAGTCTTTTCCTTTAGATGTTCACAAACACCTCAACTGCCTCAAGATGCTTCTGCTGTACCTTTTATCATCATGGATTTTCTCCTAAACAAACCTCAGAAGGTTCCAGTTGGCAAAAGATCTGTCCATTTCTCCTCTAAGGGCCTGGCTTTGCATTTCCTCTTGTACCAACTGTACCTGGTACAGTCTCTTTCATACTGTAGACCTTCAGCCATGAGAACAATGAGCTCAACATTCAATGTTAATCCCCTTGCTAAGCATATCACACTGAGCCTGTTATAGCTCTGCTTCAGTCTCTATCATATCCAGATTTCCAAACTCACATTCTCTGCAATTAGGGAAGGAAGCATCACTTTTAAGAAGATGGTAAAAAAAAAAAAAAATCATTTTTTCCATTAAAAAAAGATGATCACATGACCCAGTGATTTCACTCCTAGGTATATACACATGAGAAATTAAAACATATGTTCATGAAAAATGTGTACACAAATGCGCATAACAGCATTACTCACAACACCTAAGAAAGTAGAAACAATCAAAATGTCCACCAGCTGATAAGTGTATAAAAACACGTGGAATGCATACACGTGGAACTTTTGGGCTTTTTTGGAGACAGGGTCTCACTATGGAGCTCAGACTGGCTTTGAATTCACTATGTAGCCCAGGCTGGCCTTGAACTCGCACTGATCCTCCTGCCTCAGCCTCTCGAGTGCTAGGATTACATACCTAGCTACACAGTAGAATATTATCTAACAATAAAACAAATTGCTGATAAATGCTATAATATGAACGAACACTAAAGACATTGTATAAACAAAAACAGCCATCACAGAAGGTACCTATTGTAGGACTCCTTTTACATGCAATGTCCAGAATAGATAAATCTAGAGACAAAGTTGACCAGTGGTTTTCTAGGGTTGAGGGGTTTGGGATAAATGGGGAGTGGTTGCTAGTGGTTTGGGGATTTCTTTCGGGGGCAATGAAAATGTCCTAAAATTGAGTATAATCATGATTATATAATAACTGAATATACTAAAAACCACTGAATGGTTTATTTTATATAAGGGAATTATATCTCAGGAAAGTTGCTTTTAAAGAGAAGATCATTATGAGAATAAATTAAATCTCTAGATTACTTATCTTTAAAGCACTATCAAAGACCATCCATGGAAACAGGGCAGGACTTGCAAGGAGTACCCAAACTGAGCACGATCAAAACACACTTGGGATCACAAAGTACTAAGTCACAAAACAAGGTCCTATCAGTTGATCTTTAATGGCCTCAAAAGTGCTATGAAATCTGTGCATTGTGGAGTGTGCTAGTTTAAAGGAAGCCACAATGAACTGGGGTGAGCCCTGGGTTTATAGGCAGTGCAGGGTCTTGTTATATAACCTTTTATAGGTCACTTAGTTTCCAAAGGCAGTGTCTCTGGTCCTACTGCTTGCCAATTACCTGATTTCAAAGAGTTCTGATTAAGGCAATTCGTGAATAATATAGTTCATCTTTATTTCAGAGCCCAGGCTCTGAAAGCCCAGCTGAGGTTTCTTCTAGGCCTCTACATAGACTTAAGACATGGGATCTACAAGGCAAGTAGAGCCACCAATCTGTAGAACCTTTCTATGTGAGAGATGAACAAAATAAATGTAGAGGACATTAAATTCTCCCAAACCAGACATGCAAAATATTTAGACTATTTAAAATTACATAATAAATTAATATAATCATTAAGGCTTCATTTCAAAATAAGTTCCACCAAGGCAAAATGATATATCTACAGGAAAGGGGAACTTTATAACGAAATAACCTAATGAACACCTAGATACCTACAACCATTCTTTTACCGTCTTTCTTGAAGGCTATTGAGATTAATAAACCAAACCTACTAAACTGTGATTTTAACAAAGTTAATTTAAATCCTGGTCCTTTTATCTCCTCTCAGAACCTGTTCAAATTGTCACCCTAGTGCAACTCAAACACATCAAAGGTGTAAGATACTGAACTAATTTTAAAGAAAAATGGATGTCAAAGAATTATTTTCACTAACCATATTTCAATTATTTTGCCTTTAACTTCTCTTCTTTATCTTTCATCCTCCACATCATTTGTAACTAGAAACTTTTTAGGCAGTGTGACAAGTGACATGAACCTGGTTCGATTTAGGATCAACATTTTGATTCATGCTAGGTTGAAGCATTTAAAAGTTCTTTGCAGCTATGTCACTTAATTCAAGATTTGTAGCATGCAGTCATGGACACATATGCCCCAATAAGATAATTAAAGATTCTGAAAACCAAACCTACATTGCACTGGGTCACATGATGATGGAATATAAATCCGAGGGTCTGTGAAAATTACACAAATAAATTAGCTGCAAATGGAACAATCTTATTTCTGGATTAGAAACTTTTTTTCCCCTTGATTTTTTTTTTTTTACATCCAAGTACAAAATATAGGACGGTGGATTTGGATTTTCATTTGCAACATATATTAGTGACAGTGCCAACAGGTAGCAAGCCACCAAATGTTCGTTATTGAATGTCACATTATTTAAGTTCCGCTTCCTAGCATTTCCATGGCTAATTTGCCGGAGCAGATTGGCTGATGGCAACTGGGCCACACTGCTTTCTCAGTTTTTCAGTCACAAAACCCTCCTGGCTCCAGCTGTGTGTGTAGCTGCCTCACAGTGAAGACTGTCAGACCTAGAGCCGATGTCAATGGCAGCCAAGGTGAGAATATTATCTTGATATATGAAAATACTGCTTTGTCGACGTCACGGTCTCCCGGCAGCTACTCGGTCAACTATTATGGCAGCTGAGCAAGACCTCATGAATATTCCATAAGGTTGGCCATGCATTCAAACCAGAGCCTCCATGCCACCATTCCCATAGCAACCCACATAGATTTTACTCACCTCGGAGACGTGGCAGCTCTGGAAGTGTTGTAACGCTACCCGCTACCCGCTACCCTAGTTTTCCTAGCAAGATCAACACACAACTCTTTTTCAAAGCCTTAATCCTTTTACACAAGAAAACCAACAACCAAGTTAAAATATATTTACTCAGAAGCTATGGAGAATCCCACAAACGAAGGCACCTTAAGCTTCACAACAGTCTCTGCTGTAAAAATAGCTGTTATTCAAATGCACAGGGGAAGGAAACCAACTCAGAGATTGAAATCATCATTTCATAGTGAAATGAATTGCAGCTTGAGATAAATTCACAGCTGATTTATATTTCACATCTGATTTCCACTTATACATATACACACACACACACACACACACACACACACTTTGCTATAATAGATGAAGAAGAAAATGTTCCAAGGGGAGGAAGTGTTTTAGTCAATAAAATGCTTTGTTGCTTTATTTTTCAAAAGCATAACATAGTCCATTTTTAAATATAAGAAAACCTATGGAGTAAATGTGGGGGAAAGATTGCTCAAGACAGAAAATAAAGACTAGCTTGAAGAAAGTTTGTTTTTTTAAACGGAGCTGGGTTTCCTGGGCAAAAAGTAAAATGTTCTGATGTATGATGTAGTTTCTCCTCTTTCCATACTTAGAGATTCTTTTTTGCAGTCTGTCTAAATAAACTACCCACCCACAGAAACAAGTTGCATGGATTATACAACAGCATAAAAGTTGAGACCATTCTGTACGTATCACTCTTCCTTTTTCTCCGCAAAGGAGAAAACACAGTGGCTGAACTGTAGCACGGGAACCCCACACCGGGGCGCCCTCCTGGAGCCCAAGTGCACTCGTGACACAGCCCAGCAGAGCAAACTTGGAGAGAGGTTCAGCGAAGAAGAAACAATTTTACCTTTGCTTTTTCCAGCTGGGCCTGGGCCTGCCGCTCAGCTTCCCTGCGCACTGCCTCGCGGTCTTCCTCCAAGGACACATCGGAATCAGACGGACGGCTGGTGTAGGAGTCTGCCGAACCCTGGAGAGAAACATGTCTATTTTTAAAACAGATCCGATCTATGATGTTTGCATGAGAAAAGTCTCAAGTGGCAGTTTGCTTCCTGGATTGTGCTATAAATTCCTGAAAAGCGGGGAATAGAATCCGTTCCACAGCAACCTACCTAGAAAAATCACGCCTGGCTCTGCAGAGCCGTTGACTAGGGTGCTTGTCCCTACCGAATTACCATTCCTTCCCAATCTTCACACTCCAGCAACGGAGCTTTCTGGAAGCCAGGCCAAGTTTCCTCATAATTAAACCGGCTTGGTGGTGCAGTGCAGAGCTGCAGAGCACTGCCGGGGTTCAAGGGTAGCTTCAAGAGCAACCTTCAAGCCACAGCGAGTATTTGCAACCGAAAGACACAGGAGCCCAACAAAAAACACAGAAGCCGGTGGAAGGAGCTACTCACTTGAACTTTCCAAAATCTTGCTTCCCTGACGACTCCCACTGCAACCCTGAGAATCTTGCCTACCTTTTTCTCCACCTGCCACCTTCTCCGACAAAACGGACGCTGGCAGCTGGTACCTTCCCTCCCTCCTCCAGAGAAACCGTTCCAAATACCTTCCAGCAGATATTCAATAAGAGCTGTCTACTGAGAACACCTGCCCGGGATAGCTCAGAAATCGCCACGCAAGACAAGGAGCTCAAGGAAAAAAAATGTTAGGAATCTTCCTACCTGCCTCTCCCGCAGCCGTGCAAATATCAACCAAATCAACAAGCCCTCCCTGCCTGTGCAACAACAGAAAAGCAAAGCACACAGCGTCGCCCCTCGCCAGCCCGGCGCTCACACAGATCTCGGAATGCTTCAGCCTCCCTCCCTTGGCGCTTTTCAGCAGCCGGAACCAGGTGGCCTTCATGAGCCAGACAGCGCCTTGCTCCTTCGCAGCAGCTGCAGCCCCGGGCTCCGAGTCTCAGTGCGCGCCGAGCCCTGGAAAATCCCGGCTCCTGTGCTCGCCATACTCCAGGCGAGCCCCTCTCCTGCGTCCCTTTCGGCCTCCCAGGCTCTCACTCCTCGCCCCAGCGGGCTCCCATCCGAGGAGCTTCGGATTCTCCCACTTCAAGGGTGAGAGCGCGCGCTCCAGTGCTTTCTGAAGCTTCCAAAATAACACTTCAAGTGCGTTCAAAGGCGGCAGGCAGCAGCAACTCCTTTTAAACTTAATGCTTCTTATTGCCCTAAATGTTCTCTTCCCTGCTCTTGAACCGTCCAAGGAAATTAGTTGTAAGAGGACCTTAAAGAAGAAAAAAACAATCCTAGTGCAAAAAACCGTCTGCAGTAACATTTGCAAGTGCAAAGTTCAAGCCTGCTCTTTGGAGCTCGGAGGGGGAGGGGAGAGCGCCGAGTCCCGCACTGGGCATGCTCCATAGGTAGCCTTTTTACGCAAATGCCTCACATCACTCTGTTAGTCTTCGCCAAAGGCCAATTTACATCCAAAGCGTAAACAGCTGGAAAGGTCTCTTCGCTCCTATCCTGACCACACCTGGCAGGTTTGTTGGGTTTCTGTTTCAGATGAGCTCTCTGGAAGACAAAGCATGTAATCCCTTCATTGAATAATCCCTTGCCCTTACCTGGTACAGAAAGCATAGCCCATGCTGTGAACGCAATTCGCAGATAATAAACATTATAGACACTATCGGACAGCAAAAATCAAATAGCGCCCAGCCAGCATGTTATAATACGGCTGTGTATTGCTAGGGCTTTCCTCACACCAGAGGCTAAAGGGAGATCTGGACATTTAATCAGGACACGAAAGTAATCACAATTCTTTCTTTTGGGGGGGTGGGTACCGGGGATCGAACTCGGGTCCTTGCGCTTGCGCAGCAGGCGGCAAAACCACTGAGCTAAATCTCTGGCCCACTCCCCCCCCCCTTATTTTGGTACCAGAAATCACAATTCTTTAAAGCAGAGAGTTTAACGGAGCCCCAAATGACTCCGAACTGCATCTCCAACTGAGAAACCACCATTTGAAATGAGCTACCAGAATAAATAACTGTGTGAATTGTTACAACAATACTTGGGAAGAAATTCCAAAGCTTGGTTGATTAATTAGCTTGTGTCAAGATCCAGACAATACTGTAATTGAATCCAAAGCTTTCTTGTAGATAAGGTGACTGGGGCTTGAGAAAGAAAGATAGTAAACTTACTAACTTCCTGTAGGGACGGAAGTCCAATTTTAAAATATAGTCTTGAAGAAACGCACACTTCCGGGTTTCTTGGATATAAGTTAGAAAACAAAGCGCACCTTGATGATGGTGGGTTATTGTTTGGTAAAGCCTCATGCAAACAAAAGAAAGGTGTTAACAAGAACCCCCACTTTCTTCTTCCCTCCTTTGGATTTGGGGCTAATACCAAGCTTCATGACCTAAATGCTAGAAAGTACACAAAGTACGGCCTGCAGAATAAGACTTCCAGATTGTACCTCGATTTAATATCATGACAACATTACTAAATACATTACTTATTTTGTCATGATGTGGATGTAAAGTTTCTGGGGGATACAGATCGATTGCAATTTCTTGTTCAAGTAAAATTTAAAAGTGACAGATGAGTCTTTCAACACAGCCACACGTGGTTAGGAGATTCCTAATCTTCCTAGAGAACTTCTTAGAGTAACAGTAGCATAATGGAAAATGACCAAGAAGCACAATTACACTCCATAGAAGACCTCAGTCCCCACCCTCACTGATTCTGGCATTTAAAACCCAATCACCCCTGTTAGAAGTTCAAGTCATACTTCAGTGAAGACACCGTTTGTGTCATTTAAGAACCCCATAATACCAGGAAGTGAATAATGAAAAAAGTGCATTACTCACAATTTTCTGCAATCCCATTCCCTTTTAATCAAAATAAGATTTTTAAAAAATCAGTTGTAACCTTTACCTTTTATAATCATTTTTGAAACTGGTTTCCAGGTTTAAATCATTAAACAGTATTTTAAAAAATTATCTCTTTACCAAATTTGGGAATGATCTTTCGAATATCTATAAGTGACAATTTTATAATGAGATGTGACTATGAATTGATCTTTAGAGTAGCTTATTGAAGGAGCCACATTATTTTCATTCCTTGTATCTGAAATAGTACATACTGTACTCACAAAATATTTTTCATTATAGAAGTTATCTGTACCCATTGTCGAAGAGAGACACAAATAGCCATCATTTTCAATTCTCCTATACAAAGATAGTCCTATTAAATAGTAGAACATTTTCATCTCCAGAGTTGTTGCATTTTTGAAAGTCAACCTTGTAACACACACAATTAATCTCTTCCCTCCTGGGAGTGTGGGTTTTTGCAGTTAGAAGTGATATATCTAATTAAGCTTTTGCCTTTGTACCATATGGACTTTCTGGGTCACGCTGCTTCAAGTAGTCTTCGGTGGGGAACAGCTGGCAGTCATCTCCATGGATCCTGAGCAGGTTCATTACAAGATGTGCCCCTGATCTATTCATTTCCACAAATGAGTTAGTTGGTCTTCTGCAGGATTTGTCCTTGCAACTACCTCATACTTTTGGCTATCCATACTTCCTTATCTACATCTAAGCATTCACATTGCTAATTGTACAGTTCCAAAATCAACCCGAGTCCAGTGTCTGTCAGGAGGAGTTCATCCCACAATCTTAAACTTTATCCTCAGAACTCTCACCCTAAATATGTGTTCTTTGCTTGTAAGAAAACTGAGTTTAATCCGATTAACTTCTGCTTTTATCTACTCTTCAATTTCCTTTTCTACTTTTAAGTCAAATATTTGCACAAGAAAGCATTACCCTTCTCCTTTAACATTTTTTTTTTTTTTGTATTTGTCAAGTTTGTTTTTTTGATGTTGTACTCTACCGTTTTACAGTCATATAGATTGCCAGCACCAGTTTTCTTGGGAGTTCTTGTATTTTAAAGCCAAAAGGATATGAGCTCTAAGCCTACATAAGAGTGGTGCCTTGGGTACAAAATTGTGTCAGTCATCTATTTTGGCAGGAAATCTTGACATGAAATCTAAAGCAATGCTCTTGAACCCAACAGATCGCAAATAGTATCCCAAGGACACTGATTACCACAAAACTGTGTTCCTTCAACTTCAAGACTCCAAACCACCTCTTCATGCACAGGACTATGGGAACCAATGGCAAATATGACTCCAACACTTTCCCCTGGACCTGGCATGACATTCCACTACCACACTGGTGAGGCCCACATTTTTTTAGAATAGAGCAAAATGGATGAAGACCAGGGGAAAGGGTTCTACCCTTTCCCTTTGTATCATCTGCTGGGGGAGTGGTAATTCATTTTATTTCGTATTGTCATTGTGGTTTTTTCACAATTTAAAAGAATTAACATTTGTTCTGGGAAGCAATCTAAAGAGCTCCAGAAATCTTAACTGCAATTCCCTGCTTAAATTATTTTCTTTGTAAACAAGATCATAAAGTATTCACAGATAATGAGAGATCTGACCTCTAGAAATTAAAAAGTGATACAAGGTGTTGAGATGTAGCATGTCTTTCCAAATATTGTGTACTTTAGTCTGCAAATGTCGTGTAATTACTATTCAAATTAATACAATAATGAATGTCTGCAATGTGATTGGATATCATTTGGCTAAATGTCAAAATACGCAGTAGCAGAGATGAAAGTAATGAATCTTCACAGGGTCATTCCTGTAGGATAATTTTTTTTTTTGTACCGGGGATCAAACTCGGGTCCTTGCACTTGTGCGGCAGGCAGCGAAACCACTGAGCTAAATCCCCAGCCTGTAGGATAATTTTTAAGCCAGAATGTTAGATTCAATTTTTAGGAGAGAACAGGGAAATTTATAAACCATGTGTAGCTATAGTATGCACTGATGAACAAATTAAATTTTGTAATTAAAAGACTCTCCCGAACTAGAAACCACATGTTTTTACTGAGTACTTGCTACTTTGAAACTACAAATCCTACAACTGTAAGCTAAGTGGCGGTGAGAAAACCTGAGGCTCCCTTCCTAGTCCTGAACTTGCTATTCTAGAGAAACAGGCTGTCTTTTTAAAAAAAGAATTGGCGGAAAAATGATTGCTATATGAGATAATAGATGCTGACAGAATGACGGTGGGAAGGATGGTATTTTAGTAAAGGTGATGAGATGGCAGTCGAGATGACACTAGACTGAAACCCAGAGGTCAAAAGAAAAGAGTTTGCCCTGTGATATGTGGAGAAGAGATCCAGGCGGAGGGAGCAGCACATGCCAAGGCCCCAAGGACAAGAAATCCTCAGAATGATTAATAAAGTGCAGAGGGTCAGCTCTCTCCCTCCTTCCCTTCCTCCCTCCCTCCATATGTATTCTATATATACTATATTTTCTCTATACACATTCTAGATAAACCCCAATATATATCCTAATAATCTATCTCATCTTTATATGCTATATATATTCTAATATTTATATTCATACTCTCTGTACTCTAATAGACTGGCACACATGGAATATGTATCTGAGACTACTGCATTTATATTTATTTTTATTTATTTTATTTTTTGCAGTACTGGGGATCGAACTCAGGACCTTGAGCTTTCGAGGCAGGTGTGGTGCCACTGAGCTAAATCCCCAGCTGACTTCTGCATTTACGTGCTATCATCTCACAGAAAAATTCCTTACACGTGTTTGATTCTCTTAATCAGGAGTGGCACTTACTTTCCTGTCAGTAAACTCCACCTTATCGGAAGTATCGTGTCTTCAGAGACTGAAACAAAGCTCTTGGACTTTATTCCTTCTAAATGTAACACTGTCTCTTAGAGGCTAAGGAGTATGATCTTGAGACTGTTCTGCATTATGTGATTAATTAGGACAATCCACTTATCAGGATCAGGTTTGATACATGAGCGATAATCATAACTGTCAATTTGCAATGAATGCAGGCCCTGTGCTGATTTGCAAGGATTACCTAATTGAGTGGTGGTGAACCTATGGCATGAGTTGCCCCAGCGGGCTGTTTGTATCATTGAAAGCTCTCAAAGGTTCGCTAGCACTGACCTAATTCAATCTCTGTCTCCATTTAAACTGGTGGGAAAACGGAGGCCTAGAGAAACTGAGTCACGTGATTGCAGGGCCCTTCCTAACAAGCAATGGAGTTTGAGTTCAACTTTCAGTAATTTGAATCAGTTTCATGCCCTGTATCGCTTTGTAAAATAAATCAATCTCTACATGCAACTGACGTTTCTGTCTGCCAGTTATCTATCTATCACCTATCTATCTATCTATATCTATCTATCTATCTATCTGTTTC